AGCCATATATAAATTTCAAAAGCGTTATAATAAGCTTTCGCTAAAGCATTCCAAAAATGTTGCGTACTCTATTATAATGTCAAGAATGCTGTTAATTGATTATTACTAATTATTTATGTCGCGCAATTCAGTTTTGTTTGCGTGAGTGACAGTTCGTTAAATCTGCGATAAAACCTATCTTTTTATATCAAAAATCACTTTAGAAATTCATTAGACGTTCAAACGCTCTTGCTACTAGATTAAGGATATTGTTTGTTGAGTTTTACTAGTCGTGTTTATCCAGTGCAAGTTTTGAATATGCCAGTTATTGTACCGTTAATTTCATAAACATTTACTATGAGTTTCATTTATAGTGCGAAAATAATCGTTCTTGCTCAACGCTAAAGACGAAAGGCAATTGTGACATGTCCTTTCCAATTTATTAAATTCTCCATTCTACATAATTCATTCCACAATTAGAAATTCCTCTTCGACAGCTTCCTCTAACTCCAGAGAGACGCTACGTTATAAGGAAGAAATCTGTAAACGACATTTGTACTCAATTACAGGAAATAGACAAGTCAAATGGTCAAATTTTAATACATGGTATGGCTGGTAGTGGTAAAACAACAACTGTTTGCCAGTCTGTTAGACAAGCTATTGCTGATATGGGCTTATTTAAATCAAATGGCTGCTACTGGATGAAAATCGGTAAGTTTGCAAGTCTTACAGATGATATTTCATGTATTAATAAGTAATGTATTTGGGCGACTATTACTGTACAATTATCCATACAATGTATCTGTAAAATTGATCAATTCGAATTTGGAGTAGAGCATAAGCTTACCCCGCCAGTCCCTTATCTCCTTCGGATCGAAAGCATTTGCTAGTATCATTAGAAGAATTATAAGAAGTACGAGATGAGAACATTGTTCTTATGGAATCGATAAAAGTATTGCCAAGAGATAAATAAGTTCAAACCTTATTTTATGAGTAAATACCATCAAGTAGGCTACCATGTAATGATCATAGTTTTTAATTTTTCAATATTTATGGAGCTTCTAGTAAGATAACTTTAACTCGTAGTTCAATTATAATTATAAGAGCATTTCTTTCTGTGAAAATAATGTAGCAAAAGTAATTACAGAGTACGATATAGTAAAATAGTTGCCTTACCGCATTAAATGACGTTGAAAGTGATGACCATTTATAATTAATAGTACAGTAAAGTATACTTTCTAGTATATGAGAATCAACTATAAATTCCTATTCAAATTAATAACTGTAACCTGATTTAAAAATCATGACGCCGTGAAATTTTTCCCTTTTAAAAAATTTGGCCATATTTAACCAGTAGTCGAAAGCATTATGATTGTGTACTATTTTTAGGCAATATTGCGTCGAGAGATAACATGAAATCGAACCATAATTTTGTTAGGGTTAGATCTTTAGGGATTATCGATAAGTGGATTATCATGTTATTAATGATCCCTTTATATACTAGAGCGAATAAAGTAAAATGCTTTAAAATGCAAGATACGATGGGAAAAGAGATACATATTTGTTAGATCCTTTAAACTTAACTTTGTTGAAATGTACGCGCTGTTGAAGATCGTTAAATTGCTCTGCTATGCTTAAAGTAGCGATGGTGATTCATATTTATATTAATTTAGGCAATATATCTGATACGGAGTTATGCGAGAAACTCGAGATATTATGTATCAGCTTTGATATGGAATGGAAAGAGGAAACTAAATCTATCGACAAGATTTGTGCTTATCTCAGTAAAAGACTAGAAGGTGATTTTTGAGCCTTTAATAAGCAATTCTATATCAACTTGAATTATATTTAAGGTACAGTATTAATAGGTATTTGATTATTCTTATAACAGAAAATAGCAAACTATCCGATACGCTATTTATTTTTGACGATATCTGGAAAGAAAGTCATTACAAATACTTATCTTTTGCCAAGAAGTCAATCTCTACTTCACGATTTAAGTATGAAGAAAATGGGCTCAACCATCACTGCATCCGTTTACCGGTTAGTTTTATAATTCAGTTTCTTATATATTGCAGTATAATTTGGAATCAGCAAATATTGATGTCGATGTTCTCTTGATTAATCAATCCACTTTGCATGATTCTCCTTTCAAATTTCACATGTTCAAATTTATGTTGGATAAAATATAGTTATAAGCGTCAATGCAGTTGAATTGCTCTGGCGATATTGTTCATTTCATGCAATAAATGGTCAAAAATGAATTTATAATTTTTTCCAACTGTATTGATTAAAGTGGCATTGAGTATAGTGTTATAGTTGAAGTAAACTTCACCGCTATGATTTCTCTATTTTGTCATTAAGTAACCTATCTGAATACTTATGATGAATGCAATTCTTATTTCATATACTCTCTTGTATAGAAAGATCTAACGTATGATGAAGCTATAGAACTGCTTGCGTTACCTGCCGGTAAAGATACTGCTCAGACATTGCGTGATAATCAAGTTGTCAAGAAAGTTATCGACAGTTGTCAAGGTTTACCATTAGCCATATCTTTAATTAGTCGTCTTCGTTTAAAAACTGATGAAGACTGGAATAAAGCAAAGGATATCATTGCCAAAAAGTCTATAAAAATTAAATTAGCTGGTTACGATTTCAATCTATACGGGACTTTACAATTAAGTGTTGATTCTTTAAATGATGAAATTAGACAATTGTTTGAGCAACTAGCTGTATTTAAGCGAGTCAGTATTCCTATTCAATCTATTGCATCGTTATGGGACTGCGAAGAATGGGAGGCTGATCTTCACTTAAGCGAAATGAATAACAAATCATTACTTACATATGATGAAGAAAAGTAAGTATAATCAGGTTTCGGTTCGTAGAACGTATTGAAATAGACACAAAGTAAATTGCTATACATTTAGAGCATTAATCATGTTTGAACACCAATTATTTTTAATTTTGGGGTAGAGTAGAATACTGCATATCCAAGTTAAGTTAATTGAGTGATGTCCAATTTTGCAATGCTTTATATTTTAATATTCAAAGCATGACCTAGTGTGTCCTTGTAGGCATATATAGTTATAGATATAGAATGAACAGATTGATAGTGATAGATATAGAATGAACAGATTGATAAGTATTTAAATGGA